CTCTAACACCCTGGTCCCCTCCCCGTGCGGCCATCCGCACGCCGCTGGGCCCGCGGCCCCGTCTGGGCAGGAGGAGGAGGAGGAGGAGGAGGAGGAGAGGGCGGCACTCAGGGGCGGCCAGGCACAGGAAAAAGGGCACCGGAGAGGAAGGAGGAGGAGGAGGAGGCTGGTGCTGGTGCTGATGCTGATGCTGATGCTGATGCTGATGCTGATGCTGATGCTGATGCTGTTGATGATGATGATGATGATGATGATGATGATGATGATGATGTTGATGATGATGATGATAATGATGATGGTGACGATGATAATGATAATAATGATGATGATGATGATGATGATGATGATGATGATGATGATGATGATGATGATGATGGTGATGATGATGATGGTGATGATGATGATGATGATGCTGGTGATGATGATGATGATGATGATGATGATGACGCTAAGGAACCTCTCCCACCTCCTCCCGGGGGAAGACTGAGAGCGGCTGATCGCCGGTCGTCAGCCAAGGTGGGCGGGATACTTCCTCACAACCGATTCCTTCCCGTCGCACCACCAGACCTGTTGGTGGGGCGGGCCGGGCGGATCGCCTCGGACTTCCTCATCGCCTATATTCCGGATATGCGAAATTCTCGACAGTTCTAAACGTCGATGACTTTCAAAATGTGGCTCTCGCATTGGCGCCGCGCACATGTGCCCAAAAGCTGCCGACACTTACAGAAGTCAGAGCGGCTCCTTGTCAAAATGAGCTCTCGCCCTCACGCCGCGCTAATTTTTTGTTCAAGCTGCCAACAGTTATGTCGATGGAAGGACGTTCCTTCTCGAAATGGGTTGTTTGCCTGAGACTTCCATTGAAAATCAGCTGTGCCAAAATTCAGCAACAGTTGCATGGATGGAGGGAGGCTCCGTTGCAACATAGGGCTCTAGCTTGAGACCCCCTCGAAGTCATGACCAGAAGTGTAAAATAGTGCAACTGCTACACGGATGGAAGGCGATTCCTTTTCTATATGGGACTCTTGCTGGACACTTCATTGAACTTTCTGATTCTGCTCCGTAGCATTCCTCACGGCTACAAAGATGTAAAAGAACTCCTTCTCAAAGCGGGGCTCTGGCCTGAATGGTATGCCCATGTGGGGCACTCGTCTGTCAAGGGGCGCCTCCCGCGTGATAAGAAATTCCTGAACCGACTCATGAGAGGACTGGGGACGGGAGGGAGTATTGCAACATCGTTGACGCAACCTGGGTTTACGCAGGTCCTCCTCCTCCTCCTCCTCCTCCACTCTCCTCCTCCTCCTCCACTCTCCTCCTTCGTTCTCCCGCCATTCCTCCCTCCTAGACGAGGGACTGCTCCTGCTGGCGGAGCCGGAGGCTGCCCTTCTCCTGGCTCAGCCTCGCTTGGGGGGCTCCAGGCCGCTCTCCTCCACTCCTCCTCCCCGTCATCCTTCTTCCTCACCCTCCTCCTCATCATCCGCTCCTCTTCCTTCTAATCCTCCATGGTCCTGCGTTCGCTGATTGGTCTCTCATTCCGGTGCACTATCTGCTGCCTTTCGTCGGGGCTACAGGCTGTGTATGCGGGTACTTTCTGCACTCTTCAATGGGTATGTACTCCTTTGGGGGCTTTGGGCAGCTGCAAACATGCTCGAGGGGTGTCACTTCAGCGTTCGGCACCGTCATGGCTTCAGTGGGGGTCGCCTTTGCATACAATGATCTGTTGGTGGGTATTCTGCTCCCTGGCGGACGGCGAGCTAGGGGTTCGCCCTTGTGACTCAACGCCAGGGGTTAAGCGGCTGGTGCTTCAATCCATTTCTTTGTATGCTTCCATTTGTCGTTTCTGGCGCTTTGGGTCCATTCACTTGTGCGGGTGTTCATTGCTACTTATGGGATTCGCAACTTTTCCCGCGCGCTCTACATCGTTCTTGGGTATCTGAACATGGCTCGTTCCACGCATCGCGTGTCCCGATTGTGCGCATAGCTTTTCTTATACAAAATTGGTCACACCTGTACTGGCGTCTGGTCAAGGCAAGAGGGACCTGAGTTTCATATTACTACTGTGGTGGTGGGGCGGCTGTCATCCCATTTCGGCTTAGCTTCCAGCTTCTTCACGGTCGTAGTTTAGGGCAAAATGGTGAATTGTTTGCAGAATTCGTGCTGGTAACGGCGTTCTCTCTGCTTCTTGGTCGCGCTGTTCGTGGCAATTGATCGAAGCAAGAGGGACATGAGTTTCACATCACTACTGTGGTGGCGAGGCGGCAGTCATTTCATTTCAGCTTAGTGTCCAGCTTTTTCACGGTCGTGGTTTTGGGGCAATGAGGTGAATTGGTTGCAAAGCTCGTGCTGGCATCGGCGTTATTTATGTTTCTTGGTCACGCTGGTCGTGTTCAGGCGAAAATTTGTTTGTCACTTCTACATTGTGCATGGGTCAAGGCAATAAGAACATTTGTTTCCAGCTGGTGTCGGGGTTATGGAGCGAGGCTTTCTGTGGGGTAGGCGATCCGCTTCACTGTCGAGTTGCGCGAGCTGTACACGGCAAATGGCTGTGCGGTGTGCCTGATAGAGTCTTCTTCAATTTCAGCCTAGCATTCATTGACACCCTAGCATTGGTCTGGCGCAGTTCGTGAATTGCTTGTAGAGTATATGCTGGAATCGGCGTTCTTCTGCTTCCTGGTCATGCTACTCGTGGTGCTCAGAGGGTGGCTGATTTTTCGGATCGCTTGGTGATTGGTCTCATCTCATATCATATCACCATCTCCATAATCATCATCACCATCACCAGCATCATCATCAGCATCATCGTCATCATCATCAGCATCATCATCACCATCATCATCAGCAGCAGCAACATCAGCATCATCATCATCAGCATCGTCACCATCATCATCATCAGCATCGTCACCATCATCATCATCATCATCATCATCATCATCATCATCATCATCATCATCATCATCATCATCATCATCATCGTTTGTATCATCATCATTATCGGCATCATCATCATCATAGTCATTCCTTCCCCTCCCCTCCTCACCCTACTCCTCTTCCTCGTCATCATCATTCCCACCAGTAAGTGGCCGGCGGTGAGAGGTGGACTGCGAGTGTGAATTGTCTCCAAATAGGCTTGCCCTATAGGAGTCCTAGCTCATCATATTATAAGTAATTGGTCTTTAGCCCCCCCCCCTTTCCAATGGCACCACCCCTTATTTCCAATGGCACCCCCCTCCCCCCCACTTTTGCCAATGGCACCCCCCTCATTTCCAATGGCACCCCCCAGCTATTTCCAATGGCCAGTCCTATGGATTCCTATGGATTCCAATGATTCCTATGGATTCCTCCTCATCAACATCACACGCTCACTTGCACTTGCTTGCTTGCTCTTGCGTGCTTGCTCTCGCTTGCTTGCTCCTGCTTGCCCTTGCTTGCTTGCACTTGAGCGCTGGCTCTTGCTTGCTTGTTATTGCTCGCTTGCGCTTGCTTGCTTCCGCTTGCTTGCTTGCGCTTGCTTGATTTTGCTCCTCCCGTCCTCCTCCAGTCCTGCTCCCGTCCTCCTTTCGTCCTCCTCCCATCCTCCTCTCGTCCCCCTCCTGTTCTCCTATCTACTTGGAGTCAACGCTGACTGATATTAAATCGCCTGCTGTAACTGGTGGATTGTAAGTGGTGACTGGTAGTGGAAGTGATAAGTGGCCAGTGGTAGGTAGCGAGTGGCACCTGGTGAATGGAAAGTGGTGAAAGGAGAGTGGCAGTGGTAGCACTAGCGTGGGGTAGGATGGGTGGAACGTGGTATAGCAAAGCGGTGAGTGGCAGTCATGCGTGGCACGTGACAACTGATAATAATAACAATAGCGAAGGTTGTAAAAGAGGTGGTAGTGGTAGTGGTAGGGACAGTACTAGTATGCTAGTGTGCTAGCGTGCTAGTGTGTTAGTGCTCGTGATCTACAGGCAGTGGCAGTGGCAGAGGAAGTGGCTGTGGCAGTGGCAGTGATAGTGATAGTGGTAGCCGTAGTGGTAGTGATAAGGTGTAGCGTTAGTGACAAGCCTTAGCGGTAGCGATAGGGGGATCGGCAGCGGTTGCATCCGCAGCCGTAGCAAAATTAGAAATAGCAGCAGCTGCAGCGGCAGCAACAGTAGCAATATTAGTTGTAACCGGTGTGATAATAGTAGCGGGCGTGGGTTCGTACATGATCGTAGCCGCACACGACATGGCAGCGCCAGCGACTGCCACGTATAGCGATGTAACCGATGAGATGTCTACCAGCCATATCCAAAGCTTGGCCTGGCCATCAGCGGCGGCAATAGCATGCAAGATGTACGAAGCGGGCCGGAGGACCCTGAAATGGACGACACCCTGAGCCGCCTTCCTTGCGATGCCCCCCCCCCCCGAATCGCAATCAGCGCTTGAAAATTAGCACGCTCGGTTCCCGGGTCCCAGCCTTGGCTCGCGCGGGTCTGTTTGAAACTTGGAGCGAACACACGCCTGGCTGAGGGAGTCTCCCAGCAGCTACGACACCGATCTTGGGCCCTCGAGTCGAGAATCCCTCTTGAGCCACGGAAGGCAACCGCATCCAGACCTGCGCCGCTGCGCCACTGCGCCTCATTTCCAAGCTGAACATTATTCCACTGCTGCCTCGATGCTGCTCCTCCCATCCACGCAGGGAGGGAGAAGGTGAAAGGGAAGGACACGGGGAGAAAGAGGAGGCGAAACAGGAGAAGGAACGAGCAGACAGCTCGACAGACCAGAGCCCCCGCAACGAATGTGCAAGCGCAGCTGAGCGACGGTACGCTTGAACCTGTTGATAAAATTAACCTCCCTTGGTCGATACTTTTCGATTCACCAGGACATCGGCGCAGCCGTGGATCGAAGCCTTATATCCACTCTCTGTGTTCTCCCGCCCGATCTCACACAATGCTGGCTTGCAATGTCCTTGTTTCTGGGGCTCCGACTCCCGTGCTCCCGGCCCACTGTGGGCACTCATCCGCGCTCGTCTTCTCTGCCTGGCTTGTTTCCTCGCATCCCGACTAAATGTTGTCTTTCTCTGTCTGTCTCTCCCTCTCTGTTTTTCTCTCTCTCTCTCTCTCTCTCTCTCTTTCCCTTTCTCTTTTTGTTGTCTCTCACTGTATATATATATATACATATACATACATACATACATCTCTCTCCATGCTAGCCACACCAAGACACAATCAGCACTGGCAATCGCGCGCTGCGATATTCCACGCCTTTCCAGATGTGCGCGGACATGCACGATCTGCTCCTCCACGAGGTGGGCCAGAAGAGAAGCACTCTATACAACGGGAGGGAGCGGGAGGGGATTGAAGGGGACCGAGAACCTTACTCATTGCTTCCCCGTCCACATCACCCGGCTTCCCTCTTGGCCCCCTGCCAGAATGCCCTGAAAAGGTTTCATCTCTGCTCTCTCTCTCTCTCTCTCTCGTTCTCGAAGGTCCCGGGACCCTGGAGCCGAAGCGCATGGTGGAAATAATACGTGGCACGCGTGGTCCACGCAAGCAATGACATAATCCACATATAGCAGATCCTGGTGCACGGCTACTGTTCTCGTAGATTCTTCGCGGAGTCACGCGGGCGATGGTAGCCCAGCTGCCATGCCCCCTGACATAACACGTCATGAACAAATCGTGAAAGTGGCACGTTGGGCTGTCACGGCGACGTCCAACGAAAGCGCTTAGACGCGCTGACTTCGCAACTCACAGAACGTCATCGGTGCTCCCTTACCCACTAACGCGGCTCACTAGGCTCAACAGGCGCACATTTTCTGCGCCCCATGTCGCGAAACGTAGATATGTCGTCGAGGCATCCATGTTTTCACAATGCACCAGCGAGTTGTCGGATTTATGGGTCCCCTGCCGCCATCTGACATATTGCAGCGCGGTGGACAAGTTTACAGCACACGCACGACAAGTCAACGCTGGCCCGACACGAACTAAAGGACACGACATGGCGAAAGGGGACGGGCCGGAGAGGTAGGAGCATGAGACAATATGGAAAGATCTCGGTCGCCGTCGCTGATCCCCTCCCCCTGAGCCACCCCCACTGACAGGTCCACCACCGTGCCCCCTGGCACGTCGAGGCGTGGAAGAATGCCAGGGTCTGTCTGGCACGGTTTTTTGAATTCTGATCAAGGACCGTCCCTCCCTCTACTAGCAGACTCTTGCGTGCATCGCCCCACCTTTCCGAGGCCACTTCCCTCGTGCCCGCTCGAAGATACTGCACTTCCAGCATGGTAGCAAATTCCTAAAACCCCCATGCCGCGCGTGCCCGCTCGAGAATGGTGCACTTCCCGCATGTCAACTTGCCTGAACCCTCATCCCACGCGTGCCCGCTCGAGGATGGTGCACTTCCCGCATGGCAACTAACGCCTGAACCCTCATTCCATACGCGCCCGCTCGCGCATTCTGCACTTCCCGCATGGCTGCTAACTCCTAGACCTCTCATCCCACACGCACTCGCTGGAGGATCGTGCACTTCCCGTATTCCCAGGCGCAGCTCCCAAGCGCTCTGGGGCCTCCCAAGCCACGACCCATCGTTTAAATCGATGGATATGCGTCCCGAGCTTACAAGACGGCCCGTGCAGGCAACCAAGGACACCAAAAAATTGCCCAAGCTGCCTCGAAGACGGCCCAAGACGGCCCCAGAGCGGCCGAATTTTGAGTCAAGACGGCACAATATGCCTCCAAGCAGGCCCAAAATGGCCACAAGAAGACCTCAAACAGGGTCAGAAGAAGACAAACTCATTGACTCCCCTTGGGTTTTTTATTATTGTCTCACTCTCGCCTTTTCGGGCTGCCGTCAGCTCAAGACGCCCCAAGAGTCCAAGAGGGCTCCACGATGGTCGAAGGGGCATCCAAGACGGCCCCAAGACGGCCCAAGATTTTGTCGTTGTTTGTTTCTGTCTTTCCCCCCTCCTGGGCCAACCTTAAGCGCCCCAAGACGGCCCAAGCGGGCCTCCCGTGGGACCCAAGAAGGCCTTAGAAGGCCCTTCGACGGCCCAACACGGCACCAAGACGGCACCACGCGGGGCCCCAGACACCCACCATACGGCCGAAACGGCCCCAAGACTGCCCAAGAGAGCCCCAAGCTGGCGTAAGAGGGCCCCAGGACGGCCCACGAGGGCCCCAAGGGACCCCAAGACTGCCTCACAGGAGGCCAAGACAGCCCCGAGACGGCCAGAACGAGTTTCATCCTCCTCCTCCTCCTCCTCCTCCTCCTCCTCCTCCTCCTCCTCCTCATCATCATCATCATCATCATCATCATCATCATCATCATCATCATCATCATCATCATCAGCAGCAGCAGCAGCATCATCATCATCGTCATCATCAACATCAGCAGCAGCATCATCAGCATCAGCATCATCAGCATCATCAGCATCATCAGCATCAGCATTAGCATCAGCAACAGCATCATCATCAGCATCATCATCATCATCATCATCAGCATCATAGTCAGTAGAATCAGCATCATCCTCATCAGCATCATCATCATCATCATCATCATCATCATCATCATCATCATCATCATCCTCATCATAATCATCATCATCATCATCATCATCATCATCATCCTCATCCTCATCATCATCATCATCATCATCATCATCATCATCATCATCATCATCCTCATAGTCGTCATCATTATAGTCATCGTCATTATCATCATCATCATCATCATCAACAGCAGCAGCATCATCCTTATGAGCATCATCATCAGCAGCAGCATCGTCATCGTCATCATCAGCATCAGCATCATGGTCGTCGTCATCATCAGCATCAGCATCGGCATCATCATCATCATCGTCAGCAACCGCAGCATCCGCATCAGCATCATCATAATCAACGTCATCGGCATCATCATCGTCGTCGTGGTCATTGTCATCGGCAACAGTATAATCATCATCATCATCATCATCATCATCATCATCATCATCATCATCATCCTCAGCATCATCATCATCATCATCATCATTATCATCATCATCATCATCGTCATCATCATCATGTCCACCCTCAACAGCATCATCACGAGCATGAATAATAATAACCATCAGCATCGTCATCAGCATCATCGTCATCGTCATCGTTATCGTCAGTATCATCATATTCAGCGGCATCATCATCATGACCATCATCAGCAGCATTATCATTATCATCATCATCATCTTCAGCATCAGCAACAGCCCCAGCATCATTATCATCATCAGCAACAGCAGCAGCATCATCAGCATCAGCATCATCAGCCGCAGCAGCATCATGATCATCATGATCCTCATCATTCGAATCATCAGCAGCAGCAGCATCCTCATCATCGCCGTCGTCGTCGCTATCGTCATCACCATCCCCATCATTAGCAGCATCAGCATCATCATCATCTGGGGCAGCGATAGGGGACTGAAATGTGGAGCCACACTGGTTGAAAGAAGCGGGATGGTTAGACGCGGAGGTGCGCACGCCAGAGGACGTCACGTACACATGCACACGAAACCCAGCGAGACTGCTCGACTACGTGGTTTGCTTGGAGTCCTTCCTGGTTTTGCTCGACCACGCAAGTGCGGATCAGGTGGAAAATGGAGACCACTACGGAGTGCGAGTACATCTACGAGGGGACGCGGAGGCAGCACTACCGAGGACCCTACGTTTGCCAAAGCCTTCACCCTTGCCGGACGTGCCTAAGCGCAAGGCCGACTCCAACAGCAAGCGGTCGAGGAAGAAGAAGGAGGAGCAGGTCAATCAGGCCATGAGGCAAGCGGAGCTGGCCAGCGAGCCAACTGAGCATCCCTCGCTTCAGGCTTCAAAGCAGGGCGAGCTCAACGTCAGTTGCCAGGAGCTGCCCAGGATCTGCGGGAGGAGCGCCGAAGTGGAGGACATCTTCGGCGACTTCGAGACGAGCGACGAGGAGGAGTAGGACGCTTTCGAGGAGCTCGAGGCGCAGGAGGCGAAGCGGAGGAGAAAGACCCCGACGAGATCTTCGACCTGAACGAAGGCGAGAGGGACGCACTATAGCAGGTCAAGTTCAAGACGACGGTGAAGGAAGACCGCAAGGCGCGGCGTACGCCACCAAAGTACGTGAAGGGAAACAGCGGCCTACCAGTTCGACGATGCCGCGTCTTGGGACCTCGGCAGCAGGTACGGCAGCTGGGTGCACGCGGTGGCGCAATTCTTCGCAGCGGCTTTGCGGATCGAGCGGAAGGGCCGCCAGCACTGCTGCGGGCGGGGGGACGAGCTGAACTTCAACCTCAGCGCCGTCAAGCTCGAGATCGACGTAGGGGCCGACTGGGACCAGCCCCTCAAGTGGTGGGGGGCCCTGTCGTCGTGGCTGGTGGAGCTCCAGCGCCGCGAGGGCAAGGAGCCGAGGGCGTCCAAGCTGAAGAGCCTGTGCAAGGGCATTGTCAGCACGATGCCGACGGGCGGCGCCATCCAGACGTCGACGAAGCAGAAGAGGAAATGGAGGACAGCACTCAGCGAGATCAAGACCACAAGCAGCGCGCAGCTGCAGCAGTTGGACGTGGCAGCGCTCACCACGGCGAAGCAGGGCAAGCGCACAGAGGTTAAGGAGACGCTGATCGGCTACACCAACTGAGTGCAGGAGCAAGAAGCGATTTGCACAGGGAAGCTGCATCGGAAGACGAAGGACCAGCCGAGGTGCGACAACGAGACCCGCACCAACGGCAACGAGACGCAGAACATCGTGGAGTACATGGACGCGAATGGGGCACAGTAAAAGAAAAAGTAGACGAGTTCGACACCGAGGGCGCAGTTGCTCAGCGTGCTCGACAGCACGAGGGAGGCGGCCATGCAGAGGACAAGGCGCCCATCACCACGGAGGCGCTGGACCGCGCCATCGACACAATGGCGAAGAGCAAGGCGAAGGGCGCGGAACAAATGGGGGCGCTGGCTTTCGAGTGGTTGCCGCCTAACGCGCGCGAGGAGCTGAGGCAGCTGGTCGAGAGCGTCGAGCGCATGGGCACATGGCCCTGGCAGCTGCTCATCACGTTGGTGAGCCTGCTGAGGAAGGAGGCCGGTGGGGATCGAGCCATCGGGCTCCTACCAGAGGTGGTGAAGCTATGGTCCAAGGTGCGCAGCGAGTACACTAATGAGCGGGAGAAGGCGATGGCGGGCAAATGGGACGCGGCTATCGCAGGCAACAGCGCGCTGAAGGAGGTCCTGGTTCGGTCGTTTGCCGACGAGGTCATCCAGTGGGCGCCACAGGAGATCTAGACGGCCACGATGCTCTGGGACGCGGCGGAGTTCTACAACACTTTGGAGCCAGTGATGATCTTGGACGAAGTGATCAGGCTCGGGCTCACAGCGCGCACTTTGAACCTGGACCCGCACAAGCGGAGGGAGCCGGAAGAGAAGGCTGGCCGCGAGAGGAGGAGAAGGGAGCCCCCCTCCACACGGAGGAGACGAACGGCGCATGGCACCTCCCTGCCCGCGCCGGCACGCCCCCAGAGGCCCCCAGCAGCCCTCACCCTCGGGAGGGGCCTCGCCTGCCTGCCTGCCTCCCTGCCTGACTCTTCTGGGATCCGGCGCCGCGGGAAAGGGCAGCGCCGCCAGACCCCGCGGCGGATCCTGGGCCCCACCTCGCTGCGGCACACCTCGAGCCCGCTCGCTCTGCCAGGGCCTCGGGGGGGCCCAGGACCAGGCGAGAATGCCCGGCGCGCACCTTTTTTTTGCGCAGGTTCGACTGAGGAGCGAAGCTGAGGGTGCTCCTCGACGCACGCCGATCCAGGTGTGAGCTGAAGCGTGCCCTCCCGGATCTCCGGGCCTGCCCCCCTCCCCTCGCGGCGTGGGCGACCAGATCCATACACCTCCACCACCGCTGGCCAGGCCCATCCTGGGCCCAGGAGCGGTGTACATGCCTCTCTGGCCAAGCCAGGGGGCGTACACACTGCTCCTGGGCCCAAGATGGGCCTGGACAGCGGCGATGGATATGTGTAGATCTCGTCGCCCTATAGTAGGGTGCTCCTGTGCCCAAGATGGGCCTGGACAGCGGCGATGGATATGTGTAGACCTCGTCGCCCTATAGTAGGGGCCCTTCCACAAGAAACCGTCCACAAGAAACCCAACCCTGAGACCCCAGGATGTCCATTGATTTTTGGTGTGGGAACGTCACGCTTTCCATCGCAAAACCGTCGAAGCCCAAGAAACCCAGGACAGCCTGGAGGCAAGCAGGGTGTTTCTTGGCATGGGCCTAAACTGTACGGTGGGCCGCCGTCTCCTGCTTGAGCTTCGCCTGCTCCCGCAGGCCCCGCTCGCGCGCGAACCAGTCCTCCGACGGCTTGCCCTTGGCCGGCGCCTCCACAGTGCGAGGGGTGGCGCCCTGTGCCCCTCGCCCTTTCCCTTTCTGATGGGGGAGGAGAGGGGGGGCAGGACGAGGAAGGCGTCCTCCTCTCTCCTCCTCCTCCTCCTCTCCCTCCTCCCTCCTCCCTCCTCCTCCTCCTCCTCCTCCTCCTCCTCCTCCTCCTCCTCCTCCTCCTCCTCCTCCTCCACCTCCACCTCCTGAACCTCCACGTGCTCCCTCTCTTCCCGAACATGAAACGGCGGCGCATCCGCCAGCGGAAGGCCAGCGGAAGCGCGCGGAAGTAAAAATGATCCTGGCGAAGGACCCAACCATATGCAGTTGTGATTGCCGCAATGGTCTGTATCCTCTTCGGTGGAGCTCCCTATGGGGCCGCGAAACTTGAAAAGGGTGTGCCGAAATTTGTGGCTGGAACGCATGTGGTCACAGCCATTGGGGCCTTCGGTGGAGCTCCCTACGGGGCCACGAAGCGTGAGAGGGGTGTGCGGACATGGATGGCGGGGGCGCATGTGGTCACAGCCACTGGGGTTTTCGGTGGCGCTCCCTGTGGGGCCACGAAATGAGTGAGTGGTGTGCCGAAATGGGTAGCGGGAATGTGGTCACAGCCACCAAGGTTTTCGGTGGCGCTCATTATGCGGCCACGAAGCGTCTGAGGGGTGTGTCGACATGGGTGGCGGGGGCGCATTTGGTCAGCGCCACTGCTGCCTTCGGTGGTGCCCCCTACGGGGCCACGAAACGTGTGCGGGGTGTGCCGAAATTGGCGGCGGGAACGCATGTTTTCACAGCCACTGGGGCCTTCGCTCTCAATCCCTATGGGGTCACGAAACGTGTGAGAGGTGTGCCGAAATTGGTGGCGGGAACGCATGTGGTCACAGCCACTGGGGCCTTCGGTGGCGCTCATTATGGGGCCACGAAACGTGTGAGGAGCGTGCCGAAATGAATGGCGGGGGCGCATGTGGTCACAGCCACTGGGGCCTTCGGTGGAGCTCCCTACGGGGCCACGAAACATGTGAGAAGGTCTGCCCAAATGAGTGGCGGGGGCTCAAGTGGTCACAGCCACTGGGTCCTTCGGTGGAGCTCCGTATGGGACCACGAAACGTGTGTGTGAAGGGTGTGCCGACATGGTTGGCGGGGACGCATGTGGTCATAGCCACCGGGGCCTTCGGTGGAGCTCCCTGTGGGGCCACGAAGCGTGTGAAACGTGTGAGGGGTGTGCGGACATGGGTGGCGGGGACGCAGGTGGTCACCGCCACTAGGGTTTTCGGTGACGCCCCCTCTGGGGCCACGAAACGTGTGAGAGGTGTGCCGAAATGAGTGCCGTGACGCATGTGGTCACAGCCACCGGGGCCTTCGGTCGAGCTCCCTGTGGGGCCACGAAACGTGTGAGGAGTGTGCCGACATGGATGGCGGGGACGCATGCGGTCACAGCCACTGAGGCCTTCGGCGGACCTCCGTGTGTGGCCACGAAACGTGCGAGGGGTGTGCCCAAACGAGTGGCGGAGACGCATGTGGTCACAGCCACTGGGGCCTTCGGTGGACCTCCCTGTGGGGCCACGAAACGTGCGAGGGGTGTGCCCACACGGGTGGCGGGGACGCATGTGGTCACAGCCACTGGGGCCTTTGGTAGAGCTCCCTATGGGGCCACGAAGCGTGTGAGAGGTGCCGAAATGGGTGGCGGGGACGCATGTGGTCACAGCCAACGGGGCCTTCGGTGGAGCTCCCTGTGGGGCCAGGAAACGTGCGAGGGGTATGCCCACACGGGTGGCGGAGACGCATGTGGTCACAGCCACTGGGGCCTTCGGTGGAGCTCCCCGTGGGGCCACGAAACGCTGTAGCGGGTGCGCTGAACTGGTGGACATGCGGAGGGCAGAAGCAGGGAGGGAGGAGAGGCGAGGAGGAGAAGGAGTAACGCGGGGCGCTGTCTCGTCCAAACGAGGGCCCAAAACCACAGGATGGTTGGGAATTAGAAAGGTCCATGGATTTCTGTCCCCCCGCAAACACGCCACCAACTGCTCGTTTCGAAGAAACGGTCGGAAACAATCGCTGGACATAAAAATGGCGTGACCAATCAGAGGATGGGGTCCGTGGAGGTCCGATGACACGCAAGGGTCGCCCTTCCAAGAGGGCCGTTTGCACGAGCAGCGGGGCGCACCTGGAAACTTGCGCTGCTGCCTGGCGTCCAGCACAGTTGATGTGTGCTGGTGCGAGCGCCCAAGAGAAGAAGGGCGCGGGGATGGCATGGCGGAAGAGGTGGAGGATTGGGAGGAGGAAGAGGAGAAGACTACAGGTTGTTGACAGTCCTCGGCCCTCTCCCGGCTTCCAGACGAATCGCTCCTCTTTGGCTCCTCCTCCCCTTCCTTCGCCTCCTCCTTATCCTCCTCCTCCTCCTCCTCCTCCTCCTCCTCCTCCTCCTCCTCCTGCTTCTGCTCATCATCATCAGCATCATCATCATCATCATCATCATCATCATCATCATCATCATCATCATCATCATCACCATCATCATCATCATCATCATCATCATCATCATCATCATCATCATCATCATCATCATCATCATCATCACCATCACCATCACCATGATCATCCTCATCCTCATCCTCCTCCTCCTCCTCCTCCTCCTCATCATCATCATCATCATCATCATCATCATCATCATCATCATCATCATCATCATCGTCATCATCAGCAGCAGCAGAAGCAGCAGCAGCAGCGTCGTCGTCGGCGTCGTCGTCGTCATCGCCATCGCCATCGATATTGCCATCTCCATCGCCATCACCATCCGTCATCGTCGTCATCATCGTCCTCATCATCCTCCTCATTCTCATCTTCCTCACCATCATCGCAATCAGAATCGTCATCATCATCAGCAACATCATCAGCATCTCATCATCGTCATCAGCAGCATCATCATCATCAACATCGTCAACATCATCATCACCATCATCATCATCATCACCATCCCCCTTCTCCTCATCCTCCTCCTCCTCCTCCTAGCTCCGCCTTGGCTACTCCCTGCCTCCTCCTTGCCTCCATCCCTTGTCCTTACGAATAGCCCCTCCCTGTCGCACACCCAGACATGTCGATTGGGCGGGCCGGGCATTTCGCCTGAGACTTCCTCACCACTTCTGGTCCTCGAGACTGAAATTTTCAACAGCTTCAAGAATGGAGGGCGGGTAGTTTTCAGGATGTTGCTCCCATCATAGCGCCGTGCACATTCGTCTTCAAAGTTTGCAGCAGTGGTTCAAAAAATGTGGCTTTTCGCTCGACGCATCGCAATCGTCAAACGTTGGCAAAACTTTCAAGGATTCGTATTGTTGAAGTCCCAGGAATTGCGTTCTGACGCGATGTTGGACTGTCAGGGTGCAATTGGTTCGCAATGTTGAAGTCTCAGGAACGGTGCTCTGGCACGATTCAGGATTGTCGGGACGCAACAGTCACGCTGATTCGCGGCGCTGACATCCCAGAAATGGTGTTTCAGCACGATTGAGGATTCTCAGACGGTTGTCTTCCAATGGGGCGCTCCCCGCAATCAACCACAATTGAGACTATGAAGTGGAAAGTTGGATGGAGGGTGCATTGCACAGTCGTTGATGCGTCTTGGGTTTGCACTGGTCCCTCTCCTCCTCCTCCTCCTCCTCCTCCTCCTCCTCCTCCGCAGAATCATCATCATCATCATCATCATCATCATCATCATCATCATCATCATCATCATCATCATCATCATCATCATCACCATCACCACCACCACCATCATCATCATCATAATCATCATCAGCAGCATCAGCATCATCATCAGCAGCATCATCATCATAATCATCATCATCGTCACAATCAGCATCCTCACCATCCCCCTCCTCATCATCAGCATCATCATTATGATCATCATCAGCATCATCAGTATCATCATCATCCTCATCATCATCATCATCATCATCATCATCATCATAATCAGCATCATCCGCATCTTTACTATCAGCATCATCATCACCATCAGCATTATCATTATCATCATCAACAACATCATCAGCATCATCATCAGCATCCTTGCCTCCTCCTCCTCCTCCTCATTGCCTCCTCCTCAGCCTCCTCCTCCTCCTCGTCTCCTCCTCCCTGATTCCTCCTTGGCTGCAGCGCCCTCGTCTCCTCCTGGCTCTCGTGCTGGAGGGGGGTGGCGGCCGCGCCAGGCCCTCGCCTCCCCGTCGCCAGGCCCCGGCGTCGTGAACAGAACACGACGAGCGCTTTCCCCACCCCGTCTCGGGCGGCGGGCCCCTCACGGATCGGTCCGGTCCGCAGCAATAGTTCGTGTCAAATCCGCGAGCTAAATACCCGACACGTTCGCTTATGTGCAAAGACAACAAAGCACTGTCAAACTTATATACGTGTATATACATGTGTCTATAAATATGTGTGTATATGTAAATGTATATGTGCGTACATATGTACAGACGTGTGTATGTGCGTTTGTATTCGTTCGAAACGAATCGTTTTTGTATGTATACGCCCCCATAGATGAAACAACAACAACAACAACAACAACAACAACAACAACAACAACAACAACAACAACAACAACAACAACAACAACAACAACAACAACAACAACAACGACAACGACAACGACAACGACAACAACAACAACGTGTCAGGAGTCCATATGGAGGGAGCAGTTTGAAAAATGATGGGGTCGACAGCTCCTCCGCATCATCAACATCAGCATTATCATCACCATCCACATCAGCAGCAGCAGCCTCATCATCAGCATCACAATGATCTCCATCCACATCATGATCAACATCAGCATCGGCATCAGTACCGGCGTCATTACCAGGACCATCATCACCATCAGCAGCAGCAGTAGCAACAGAAGTATCAACATCATCATCATCAGCATCATCGTCGTCATCATCATCATCAACAACAAGAAGAGCACCGTCGTCATCACCATGGTCCTCGTAATCATTATCATCCTCACTATCATCAGCCCCCTCCTTCTCTTCTTCCTCTCTCTCCTCATCCTCCTCATCATCGGTCTTGTCCCGCCCCTCTTCCATCCCCGACCATCTTGTTAACAATTCCTCCTCCGCCTCCTCCCTCCCATTCTGAACGCCCTGCCACGGCCTTTGTCATCGAGTCCGCCCCCTCCTGGAACGAGGCCTGCAGGATGCGGTTTGACTCCGAGAGGATGGCAATATCGTGCTGGACCTACCGGCGGGAGGACGCTGACTAGCATCGGTTGTCCTCCCCTTCCTCCGTCTCCCTTTTGGCCTTCCGGAGGGGCACTTCCTTCCTGCTCGCTCCTGCTGACTCATGCTCATCCTCCTCGTCATCCGTCTCTTCCTCCTCCTCCTGCTCCTCCTCCTCCTCCTCCTCCTCCTCCTCCTCCTCCTCCTGCCCCTGCGCCTGCTCCTCCTC